GGGCCTCCGCGCAAAGCGTGCCGCTCTGGCCTGCGCCTCGGTAGAGCAGTAACGTTTGTTATTAACTGGAACGTGAACCTGAAACGGTGGAGGGGGAGGGGGAGATATTTTGATGCTTCCTTTGGTCGTGGTAGTTTGGGAACGAGGAATGTGCCTGCTCGTCTTCTTGTCCCATCCCACAGAAGTGGTTTGGATCGAGTAGCGCGCGCTTCACAAAATAAGGCAGGAAAGATGAGCCACTCACACGCATACGCACGCAAAATCCCACACGTTTTTACCGTGATAGCCTAAGAGCGGTAATCTAATTTTGTTCTCTTTCAAACTGTTTCAAGGCATATATGTGTGTGTGTATATATATGTGTATATATATCCTCCAGGTTTCAGTGGGCGTCCTTCTGCTGCTCTGTTATCATTATTTCTTGCCTTGATGTGACGTTGAAGACAGATGACAGCATTGTCAGGTTGTCTTTAATTCATTTGAAGATTAAAAAAAATACACACACAAAGCTTCTTACACAATATTCAAAGCCTGAACGGATTCACTTTTTTTTTTTTTTTTTTTTTTTTCCACGTAGGGGACGTGGGGCTGGGAACCGGGGGTGGGTAGTTGATGAATTTCAGACATGAAGAGAGAACAAAGTCTGTGCATCGCTGTGCGTGCACACACGCACAGAGCAAGCAGTCAGAGGTGAGATTTTTGCAACAGCAGCACCTGGTTGATGTTGATGGAGAAATAGCCAGCATTAGGACAGTCTTTTCGCATTTATGCACAAGCTCAAACGTATAATCTGCTCAAATTTCAACCACGTCTCTGCTGCCAAAGCATTCCGCCTCCAAAGAGGTGAGAGCATACAGACCCGGGGTCCGTCTTTTTTCTTCCGACACCTCTGTGCTTCATCGCAACAAAATTTTACCTTAAAAAAGGTAGACTGCCCCGAATTTTCCAGGAGTGAGCTGAGAAAGAGATTTAACAGGGATTAGACACCTCTGATCAGAACTGGTTGCTTGCCTGCCTCAGGTCTGCTCATGAAGAAGTGCTAGCTGTGCTTCATGGTGCAGAGAGAATCAGGGGTGGTGGGGTATCTCAACACGGCATTACAAATGTCCGAAATTATACCCAAAAATCTTTATGAAAAGGAAATTTGGTGCTGGTAGCTCCAGCGATTTTCCACTTTAGAATCGTTCCTTCAAAATAAAAAAAAAGCAAAACCAAAAACCAACCAACCAAAAAAACCCAAAAACCAAAAAAAGAAAACACACACAATTATTAAAAAAAAAAAAAAAGACCACCAAAACCCCCTAAACTGTGGTCTACCGAAAGCCTACAATGAGAGCCAACAGTATTAAAGCAGCAGTGCTCTCCATCTTTTCTAAGTATGAAAGAATGAAGTTTGATCAATGTTTTTACAGAATAGGAATGCACATTTACTTTTGTTTCAGAAAGTTTGGATCTTTCGGGATTCCCTTTGCCTGAGTGATTTCGACTGTAGATGTGGGTAGATCATTGCTAACCTCGGGTCGGAGAGAGGAGGGTCAGCCCCAGCACTGCGTGTACCTCGCTGCCTGCGCTGAGGGTGGCTCCAAGGGTGGTCAGTGGGCAGTGGGTGACTTTCTGGTCTCAGCAAATGGAGTCTCTAATCACTGAGGAAAATCTTCCCGTAATAAAGGCATCCTTGTATTTTAGTTCTAGCATACATTTTGCATTCCAAAACCAGGCAAGCATATGTATATGCGTGTGTTTGGTGTGGGCTTGTGCACATAAGCCAAGATACATATGCCCATCTAGGCTCAGATATATTACAGAGACTCCTTTGCTGTCTGTGGAGTCTGGTGTTTTATTGTTTCATAAAACTACCTTAATTACATTTCCCCGTAGATAAGATAAACAGGATCCTTCTTTTCTAACCGTTGCTTATCAGAAGTATTTTGTCGAAGTGGCATCCAAAGTAAGCTTTTGAGAGTGGAGGGAAACGCATTAATTTTTATTTTGGTTCTTCAGTTGCACTTAGCATCTGACAAGAGTTGATTTAAATATTACATGATTCTATCTTTAATGTTCAAAAAAGATTTGTGAGAAAGACAAAACTGTTTAATTTAAACTAATGTATGCCTGACTCTGGTCAGATTGATCACAGTTTCGGGTTTTGATGGGTTTTGCCCTTCTGTTGCTTGTCCTCTCAAGCTGGTTTTTCACTGTGAAATTATTTTAGTTCGGTGGCATGGACCAGCGGCTGCTGTCAAATCCACAACCCATCCAGTTAGTAAGAACGGGGGGAGTGGGGGGGTGGGGTGGTGAGGAATAACAAATGTAGTCCTTTTAGCTAAAAACATTAATGTCCATAAGTCAATCTCTGTTAGAAAAAAAGGCGAATTTAATAGATTAATATCAAAATCCTAGGTGGCACTTGCCAGGTCGGATACTTAACAAGGCTGGAAGAGAGACCTACTTATCACCACTCTACATATAAAATAAGGTGTTTTAATTTTTCTTTAACCTCGGGGACAGTATCTGAGCAAAACAGTAATAATAGCATTAAGTGTTCATTTCACCACTTGCATCAGCAATCTTTGTGTGTAACCTTTCAGAGCTGAAATCCCCAAAACTGTAGTTAGGCTTCCAGGACACAAATGCTTCCCTCGCCCTTTTTAAATCGCCCCTGCAACACCTGATGGGCGATGGGATTTCGTTAGCGAAGTCTGAGCTGCAGCTGTTCAAGATCGGTAATTGTAAAACACACGAACAGGAGAGGAAAGTGGCAATGGTGGTGTTTTAATCGCGGCAAAACTGTAATTGTTGCTTGCACACCCAGATGGAGTCTGAAATGTAATTTTCCTCAAATTAAGAGTAGTTAAAATAGCAAAGCGGGGAAGGCAGTCTGGCCGGGCTGCAGGAGGGAGCGGGGGGCGTGCGGCATACAGAGAGGACTGCGAGCTTGTTCTGCCTTTCTCGGGCTCGCCGGATGAATCCTCCGCCACCATCACCCCCGACCCGAGAAGCCCTTCTTTCAATTACTTTCTGTGTTTGTATCGGCTTCTTATTTTATAATTAAAGTTTACTTGGCGCAGTTAACAGCACTGCCCTCTCCTCCCTTTCTCAAACTCATCGGTTCAGAACGAGAGCCCGTTTTACATTTCCTAAAGCAGAGATCCGCAAAGGTGCCTTTCCCATTTAAGGCGGCTGGGGGGTAACACGTTTGGTTAAACCGCAAAGCGTTTCCCGAGCCGCTTTCGGACAGCGTCCCGACAGAGCCGCAGCGCGGCCCAGCCCCGGCCTCCCCGCGTGTGTCCCGGGCCCCGCCGCGGGCCTGGCCCGGAGAGCCGTGCCGGGACGGCCGCTGCAGCTTCAGGAGCTCGCTGCTTTTCTCGCCTTTGCACATTAACGCTAACTTCCACTAATTATCTGAAGCAAATGTATTCGACTAATTAGCATCTGGGCACCACGGGAAACTCTGAACAGTAATTATATTGTGGGGGGAATCCAGAACGAGGGAGAAAACCCGGTGATTTGTCAAGCGAAGTCGCCGCTTGCAGCTTTGCCCCCCGCCAGTGCGTCGGGCTGGGGCCGGGGCGGGAGGAGCGGGGCCGAGCGAGGGGCAGCAAGTCCTCGGCTCCGCCTGGGCCGCTGCTCGAACGCCGGGCAGGGCGCGGGGCAGAGCCCTGCGCTGGCATTGCCCTCACAGACTGCGCTAGCGCTTTTCCGACTGTGTCGGCGGCACCGGTTTGCTGCGCAGTTTCGGCAGCTGCTCCGCCGCAGCCCCCGCTCCTACCTGAACGCAGGACGACGAGCCGGAGCTGGGCGGTGGCCCTGGGGCGCCAGGAGGAAACCCGGGCTGCGGAGGCAGAGGCGCGGTGCGGGCAGGGGCAGCCCCTCTCGGGATCACGTCAAGTTTGGCACTGCACTTCAGTAAAGAGCAAACTCGGCCCAAATAACGGATGGCTTCTTTTTTTTCCCGTCCCTTTCTTTTTAAGAGAACATGAATTTTCTGAGCAGTCCGATTTTTTTTTTTTTACGTGACGATCTTTTGTGCTGCGGTGCGAACTGAAGAGAGAAATTGAAAATAACTGGATGAGCTCAAACAGCGCTTCCCTAATTACTTCTGAACTTCTCATTTAGAAAGAGATGAATAGGTATGCATTACATTGCTAAAAAAAAAAAGCTTTCGGATAATCATCTTACACTTTTACAAAACAGTCTTGCCTTCCCCGTTTCTTTCTAAAGAAAGAAAGAAGTCTTCTAGTTGAAAACTAGTTTTAAAAACCAGATATTTCACAGTAAAAACGTTTAAAAATATAAGTTTACCTTCTTTAAAGACAGGGGAAGAGATTTAAGCGATTCTCAGTTTTCTTATTTCGTGCCAGAAAATTCTACTGACGAGGAAAAAACCAACTGTGTCTGATTATTTTTTAAGAGAGCCCTGGGGTTACAATAAAAAAAACTTTGGTTGTTTTTTTTTTTAATTTTTAATTAAAATTGAATAAACGCTTAAGGAGAAATTAGCAGTCACCTCCATCCAAGACCTACTCGGGTTTTATAACAGAATCAAAGCGTATTTAAAAAAAAAAGTAAAACCTTTTAATACATCAAATATACGGAATTTTAATCTTTAAAGCGATACATTGTCTATTTTAGTACATGACGTAAACCTTACTTAACCCTTTTTACAGGGTGGACTTAAAAATTAAAAATAGTTAAGTGTTCCTTTAAAGAACAAAATAAGGCAAATGAGGTTTTTGGAATAGAATTGTTTTTGTTTTTTCTTCCAGAATACATACAAAAAAATACCAATTCTCTTTCAAGGGTATACACCTTAAAAATAATTGCAATTTGAAATTATAACTGACAAATTGCGAGTTGTTTTTAGTAACAAACATGCATGTAAATTTTTTTGTTTCAATGAGACATTAAATAAGAACGTACAATACAATCATAGCAATTTTAAAGTAACATTAAAGAGAAGACCTCTATCTTTTTATTTATATTCTACAATGGGTGTTCCACTTTTACCTATTGAGCTCAGTTTAGTAATGCACTTTATGATTCGTTGTCCCGCTTGAAGCTAACATAAATAAATACAGTGCTCATGGATCCAGTCCTCAAATGAACACTATTTTATAAAAAGTCAGGGGTTTTTTTTCTTTCCAACTTTTATAAAGTTTTGCAGGGCTTCCTTCCTTTACCGCTAGACTTTGTGTTGTGTGTCAGAGCCCCGCTGCCTGCACTCACTGGTACCCCAGGGCCGAGGCTGTGGTGAGTCTCTGCCCATAGAGTGCATAAGGGGAGTAGTAGGGTCCGGTGGCAGCGGGCACGGGCACGGGGGCCCCGGGGGTGGGCAGGGGGCTCTTGGAGTACGGGTGGTAGCGGCTGCCGAGTCCCAGCGCGTGGTGCGGGCTGCGCAAGGCCAGCGTGCCCGGGCTGCCCGGGGCGCCCGTCGTGGGGATGTGCATGTGGCACGCCATGGCCGCGGCCGCTGCGCTGGCCAGCGACGAGGAGCTGGGGTAGCTGGAGAGGAGTTTATCGGTGCCCGGGAAGGCAGTATGGGTCCGCAAGTGGCTAAGCAGCTCCTCCGAGGTGGCGAAGCGCTTGTCGCAGGGTCCGTTGGCCGACACCCAGTTGCAGATGTGTGGCTGGGGGTCGTTGGGGAGCATGAAGCCGTAGGGGTACAAAGGGTGGCCGGCTAG